TGTTAACTTTTACCAGGAGTCTTATTCTGCACTAAGTACTGTATATAACACATTATGGCTTTATGAATGGCAACTTCTACACGTGTTTTCAAATGTTCCTCGTGTTCTATACTTCATATTTGTATAATGTACATCTGAAATTCTATCTTGTGGGAATAACTTTCAAAATATTTAATTTTACTAACATCATTTCTGGATAGATTTAATTTTAATAAAATATTTATGCACCTTTAGCTGTATAAATCTTGGTTAAGGGGGAGATTCTTTTCACTATGGACAGGTAGTTCCAGTTAGTCAATGGGAGAAAAAAAAAAAAAACAATGTTCTCAAAGAACATTTAAAATGAGCAGCAGAAAGTCATTCCATACCGTCTAATATTTAAAGAGTAACGTCAAAAAATATACATTGTAGGCACATTACTGAATACTGTCCAGAGATTTTTAGTTTTAGATATTCTTGTACCAAACTTCAAGGTACTTTTATCTAATAATACACTTTATATATCTTCTGGTACCAAGCTAATGATATCACAGTTTGGTACAAGAACTATCCAAAATACGCAAGATCATGGACGTAACATTACAAACTAGTTTTGTCTAAGTAACAACTTGAAGACTGTAGGCAAGTACTCGAGTGTGAATTTCTCAATAGAAATTACATTAAGAATTTATCATCATTTCTTACAACAAATAAAATATGAATGGCACCAACAAATTCTGCAATATATTGCTATCTGAACAGTAACATGGAAATAAAAGTACAGTACTTCAGTCTCTGACAAACAAAATATATAAATCAAGTGGATTAATTATTTTTCTTACTTTCAAGACTTTACTGTCTTTGATCTGAGAGAAGCTCTGGGAGAATATGCAAGTCTCTTAAAATCAACATGTGCATCAGCCAGAATTTTTATTTTTTCTTTTCTTTTCTTTTTTTTTTTTATAAGAAAGAGAAGGCATTCTGAAACATTAATCCCATAACAGAAGAAGCAAATAACAAGAAACTAACCAAGACTACACTGAACAGTAAGCAGTAACTATGCACCTCGAGACTTCTTCATATAAAGCCCCAAGACCTTGACCAACACATCTTGGAATCAACATAGTAATTTGTATCCAAGACAGATGTGTATCTAATGTAAATGCACCTTCTGAAAATTGAAAATAACCATTTCAAAAAAAGCTTATTTCCACTAGGGATCTTCCAAACCTATTCAACTTCTCAAAACTATGACAACCCAGATAGAATTTGTGTAACTTTTGCAGTCTGAAAATGGTATAGTACAAATGCCTGATCTGTTTTCACCAGCTTTCAAAATACCTTTACCGGAAGTGGAAGGAGGAAACTCAATATACCGAATTCTATCTTCTCTTAGCTGCCGCAGAAATGTGGGCTCCCATCTCCTTGCCTGTATTTTCCACGTACCCAAGTTGAAAATCTAAAAACACAACTGGTTACACCATAAACAAATCTACAAGGGCCGTGACAAGGATTCGAACCTACGTCTGTGAGCATCCCAGACGCCACCTTAATCGACTGAGCTACAACATGGTTCACTGATGCATCACGTTATTGTGATTTCTGTGTGTAGTGTGGTTACACTATAATTATTCTTAACAAAAGTCAAAGAATTTCACGTGTCCAGTATTTAATTTCAGAGATTTTCACCCCATCAAGAATTACAGGGTAAAGTCCTAAGTCTTTTCTATAATAATCTCAAAAAGTATCCAAATACAGTTAATGTGAATTTTGAAAGCTTGGCACTAAGAAAACCACAACACTTGCAGTACAGCAAAGTGCCTCAGGTTTAAGGCAAAGTACAATTGGCATTCCATTCTTGGCTCCTCCAATAAATAGACAACCATGTAAATCATAGTGCAGCAATAAATTAACAAAATTTAAAACTCCTTATGGAGCACCTAACTGCAAGCAAATATTTGAAATTGCAACAGTTGGAAAAAGTTTTCAATATCATACAAAAGTATTTATCTGATATTTCTGAGATAATGATGAGCTGCTAAGCACAGTATCGTTGTTCTTTAGAACCAGATTTTGTTCATTATATTATGTCAAATGTATTTGTGAAAGTAATAAACCTATTACTGGCTGGAAGCAAGACTTCTCAAAATTACAGAAGCCAAAATCTGGCTTCTTTGTCTGGGAGTGGGAAAACCAATTATGTATAAGAATAACTATGTGCAAAAGATGCCTATGCCCTATCATGGGAGACATACAAGGGCATTCTCAACATTATTTAAATATTGCAAACTTCACTGGCTCATGTCGCTAGCAAATGGAAAAGCAGAAAGCATACAGAGAATTTTCTGAACTCATGGACCAAGCACTTGTGCAAATGCCTAATCAAAATAAAGACTTGCATTTTATGGGAAGACATCAAACTTCACTGTAGTAAGAGGAACATTGTATGCAAAATTATGACTCGAGGATGTGATCATACATGATGCTAATGGTTCTTGAGAGAACATTTTATACGAGACGAGACTGAATGGGAGAAAACAAGTGTGGAAAATACAATGGAACTGTACAGCAATATTTCAAAAGCTTTATACAAGGAGTATGTTTAGATCCAAGGTAGAAGTAAAGGAGTAAAGAAGAAAGTATTTTGTTGTCACTAAGGAGGCATAAAATAATTTTACAGGATGCAGAGAATGGAGGAAGTAAGAAATGGATTAAAAATATGTACTAGTGTGTATGCTCCTGCAAATTATAAAAGGTTTGATATGGTAAAGATTATTGTATCAAATGATGTAAACACAAGGCTGTTAAACATGATGTTTGAGAGTAAAGAAACCCTGGTGGAATTGTATATAGAAATTTTTGCTTTCATTGCATGTATGCACACAAAAGTGCATTTAAATTATCATATAATAATGTCAAACTGCATTAATACAATAAGATTGTGAAGATGTATAAAGCAACAAATTTAATGGTAAAGATGAAGAAATATACACAAAAATCAAAATATATACTTTTCCTGAATTGACAAATATAAATGTGATGCTTGTAACTTTTCACACAAGTATGGTTAATACAGGACAGGGTGCATGTGGCAAGTTTAAGTGGTAGATCGGGTAACTGGAACAAATGCACAGACAAAGAAGCTAGTGTACAAGGATCGGGTGGATATGCATGATGAACACGTAATCCACAACATGATGACAATGGCTAAGTACATAGCGGAGATGAGCAAGTCTCATATTTAAATGCAGCGAGGCACTAAAGTGTTTGGAATAATGTTAAAAAGAGCAAATATGAAAAACTAATGCAGCTGGAGAACTTTTTTTTGAGAGAAAAAAAAGCCGCATTAAAAAAGGAAAATCTCCAATAAGTATACACAAAAACAATCTAAAACCAGTGGCAAGTTGCACACTGGCTGCACATAATGTGTCATCCAAGACGATGGACACGGTGCATAATATAGCTGTAAAAGATCAGAAATAAAGGTAAATAAAGAATTTAGCAAATTTTAAAATATTTGCAAGAAATGCTGTGTTATATTCCACGGCTTTTTAATAAACACAAGGTTGAAGCAATAAAGGCAAGAATGTGGAAGGTAATACCCAGAATAAAAAATGCTTATTAAATAATATTGTTGACTCGTTACAAAAAGTTGCAGGGACAGGAGTTCTATCGTAATATAAGCCGAATGGTTAATGCTGGTATGAGGTGATGGCTTGGGAGGCAAGACTCAAGTGACAAAATTTTGATTCCTAAAATGATCACATATGAGTAAAATATGATGGAATGCAACATTGTGATTGAAGTAATTTCCAGTAAATGAGTAAATGAAGTAAAATAGTTTAAGATTGGTGAGAAGTAGGAGAGCAGCAGAGTACAAGAGAAGTTGATCACATCCTTGAAGAGCATAATGCAATGATAAATGCAGGAATCAACATGAAGAAAAGACTGCAAGATAGTGGACTCCCATTGACCTTGACTCAAAACATTTATATGAATTTCACCAAAATATAAACTTCCATAATTATTTTTTTTCATGACTTCAAAGCCTTCAAAATTAAGAAAAAATGGAATACTAGTGTGACTGAAATGTATGTATATATACACATACATATGTATCCACATACATATTATATATATATCTATGATGCCTTTTTCCTCTGGGAACTCTTTCCTCCTTGAGGTGTTGGCTTCATTAAGAACAAAATTAATTATATATGCAATACTGAGATCAGCATGTAACATTTTACCTATAAACATTCTATCACATATGCAGACAGGCACCCACCGCACCAGGTTTTCAAAATTTGATCTCATAATTCTGCATATTCTTATGAGATATTACAATACAATATTAAACACTAATGCATATTCACAAGTTAACTGCAGTCACCCAATATGAACATATACCCTCCCCCAACACACACGTGCGCGCACACATTCTAAATAAGGAGGCATTCAGAGTGCTTTACACTGCCTACGTGAGACCACTCTTAGAGTATGCAGCCCCATCATGGAACCCCCACCTGAAGAAACACATTAGGAAACTGGAAAAAGGTTATATATAAAAATAAAAATTGTGACAAGGCTAGTCCCAGTGTTGCATGGGATGGGGATATGAAGAGCGACTGAAGGAACTGAACCTGACATTAGAAAAAAGGAGGGAGCAGGGAGATAGCAGCATACAAAATACTCGGGGGAATTGACAGAATGGAAGTAGACGAAATGTTCACAAAATACAATCACAACAAGGGGGACATGGGTGGAAGCTGGAAACTCAGATGAGTTAGATGTTAGAAAGTTTTCTTTTAGTGAGAGAGTAGTGGGGAAATGGAATGAACTAAGGGGAAGTTCATTGTGGAAGGAAACACTATTCATAGCTTTAAAACTAGGTATGATAGAAGAAGGGCAGGCGTCATTGCTTTAAACAACCAAAGGCTAGAAAGGCGGGATCCAAGGGGCCAAGGCTCGATCCTGCAGGCACAAACAGGTGAATACACACACACACACACACACACACACACACACACACACACACACACACACACACACACACACAGGAGAGCACGCATGCGCGCGCACACACACGAGCATAGCTCTCATCCTGTAACTATACTTAGGTAATTACACACACACACAGTCATAACATGACATGCCTAATATTTCTCTGGATGGTTATCAACCTATTCTAGATGTCTGGCTGGAAGCATTAAAAATTAAAAAGGTATATTTTTTGATGACAGGACATCAATTAGTCTGGAAGTCATAACAAGTATACTTTATAAGCTACCCCTGCTCAGTCTATTTTGTGTAAACACACACAAAACCAGCCTAGTTCTTCATTCACTGCCAATAAATGCAAATTTGTCTGCAGTTTCAATAAATTTAAAATACATTAATGTACCTTGCATTTTTTAACACCAATATTTATTGTTTAAAATCTAATAGTTTTATAATTGTCAAAATACATGTCCACCATTAGAAAAAAAAAGTTTACTAAACTAGGCAGTGTTTGACGTGACTGAGAAACTGCATCAATGAGTATGACAAAACATCGTTCCTACTTCCTTGGTGAAAATTTCGGATTTGTAGGACCATGTGTAAAGGAACGTAGTTCATAAGGAACACTGGTCTTGTGCAGGGTGGCAGCATCTGCATCACTTTTTCGGAAGATTAGCATGCGGATGTCAGTGTGGAGGTAGATCTTGCCAGATTTAGAGCTGACAAACCTGTGAAGAAATATTTCAATACTTTGTCTAAGGTTTACAAATAATTCTGGTTAGATATTAAATCTGTGGATAAAAAACCTGATGAGAGATCTTGCAGATGCCACATCTAATCACAGAAGGAGGGAGACACAAAGTCAATATTCAGTCTTTAACAATTGTCAGATGGTACAATTGTCTACATTGAACAAAACTTCAAAGTAATACTGCACTTGAAATCAAAGATACGTCAATGGAACCACTACACATACAAACTATAGTACTGTACTATCCAACTGCTAGTTGCCACAACCTGAAACCAGGTGCCACCAGCACTGGATCTGTCAACTCCCAGTTTGTTATCAGTCCTCACTTTTTTTCTATTTTTTGGGATGGCTTCCCTAGATCTACATCTAGCTGATCAACAAAGGATCAATACTCTTAAGTAACAACAGATACAACCAAGACATCTGTTGTGCAGTCACAGGCCTGTTTTATTTTCCTGCCTACAGCAGATAGTGCTAGAAAATGGCCTGTTGCAAGAATGCCTCTTGCAACTAATTTGTTCAGTCTTAGCTCTGGGAAAGATGTTCCTGGCACCTTGTGGGTGCACTTTTACACAAACTTCGCTTTTTTACGCTGATAACCACTAGTGCTGGGTGCAGGGCTGTTTCAATCCCTCAATATTATCCTGTGTAGACAGCTTTAAACTGCCATCTTGTCAGGATTAGAATATGGCTGCCTGACTGCATTGTTGTACACAAATGTCAGAGCTGACCTATTCAGATGACTGTAGGCCACTCAATCTTTCGACTTACTGAAGGTGTTAAGAAAGTTCATAATGTCTTTTCACCAGCTGAACCAGGTTTTTGACCTATGACTGCTGCTGCCTCCTCTCATAGGGAAAGAAGAGTGAAGTAGATGGCATTTATTCAAGTTCTTTAGCTTGGGAAGTGGCACTCCAGAAATTACACAATCCCAGTGCATTGTCTACTCCAACAGCCTCCTTTGGCTCTGTCCAGGAGGTTCTGCCCATTTTAGGGAGGACTCAGTAGCTCTCGTCCACCCTTTAAGAAACCTCACAGGTCGTAGAGTGGGATGGGTTATGTTTGCATGTCTTGTGAGGCTTTGGCACAAGATTCCTGCTCATTTTGAGTATTGTCTCAGGCTTGTCTATAAAATTTGATACACTCAACCCTTCAAGAGTTCTGTTGGCATAGGGCAGCTGTCTACTCCAAACATCTGTGCCCATATTTGAGAGATATTGGCCAGGAAGCACTTATTTTGGTTCAGTTATTTCTTAGTGGTGGTGAAGATAACTACTAAGATGATCCTCAATCTTTAGGAGTCCACACCGACAACCTCAGCACTCTCGTACCTCTTGGATAACCACTGACTTATTTTAACTAATTGTTCTACCTATACTTTATTCAAAAGTAAAAAAAATCATTTACTGTATCCGATTTCCTCACCATAGTACCCCACCTTGTACTACTACAGGTCACTTAGTACTACACTGAACATATAATTCAATTATCTTATCACACTTTCCTTATTGCCATGTTAAATAATTACAAAATTTAATTGTATCAACTCAAATTAATGAATACTTATGAATGTCGGTCACTGTGTTTCTTCAAGATTAACTTTTCACTTTGTAAATTACAACTCGCTGCAAATCCTTAATGTAAGCCTCGATTTCATTATTAACCATAAGATTTGCCCGAAACGCTATGCAATTTTCAGGGCAATGCAAAAAATGTACCACCATGAATAAAATCTGCAATGAAGTAACCTACCTTCCCACCCCCCCAGTTCATTCATTAACTGTAGGTAGTAAATAGGCGATTGCAACCTTTCCACTGCCACCCGCTGTATATGGGGTTGTTTACACGACATACAAATCAAATTATGAAACTAGCTCATCGCATATGTAAGGTGCTTAGCTTAGGAGACTGCATGTGGTTGTTCTCAAACCAATTGTTGATTAAACTGTATAACCAGCTTATCAAAACTTGCTAAGCTAAATGATTTTGTCCACTTGTAACCTCCATTACTACCCACAGGATGGGTAATTGGGTGTATAATAAATAAAATTAACTCTGGTCATGTTCCTGGAGATAGATGCCTTCTGGCATGTCCCTATCCATCTGCAATTCAGTAAATCAACTGTGTGTCTTCATAATGCTATAAAACAAGTAAAATTTAATAGACCATTCTACATTTTTTCCCATTAGATTTAACCATAGTCTAGGGATTGGTTTGAGGAACCTCATACAGTGAACCACCACAATTTCCCAAGAAACATCAAATTTCTTGGGCATATCCTCTATAATGAATAATCAAATCAAGTCATCTTGCCTATAATTGATCAGTTGTATAGGTACCCAAAATCAAATTGTTGCAATGCCCTTACGACCTGCATAACAGTCCACGATGCAGTTGTAGCACACTGATAAACAATACTAGACAAGTACATTTGCACCACACAACTCCTGGCCACCCATTCTGAATTGTACACCCCTGTTCACCCAGTAGTAATGGGGGACCTGGTTTTACACCAATTGCCATGTCATATTCAAGGGAACACACAGTAGGGTAAGACCTAAGATGAGCCATGGGAAGGAGAAGCTCTTAAGCCCGTCAAGATGAATGAAATCATGTACTGTACCCACCTGAAATGTTATATTTAATGCACACTACATTGAAGTCGAGTTAGTGTACTGTATACCAAACTTTCCAATGCATATCCTAGTAATAAGGCACTTGTATACCAGCACAGATGTATAATTGCCAGTTTACTATCAAGATATTTGAAAACACACCCCTGACAAAATAGAATTAGTGCCAAAAGTGGAAGCGAAATAATTGTTTTCATCACTGAAATACATAATTGAAGTGTTCTTACCTTCTTTATTTTGTAAAGAAACTGAGCTGTATAAAAACTTATGGATTCTGTACTTTTCACATCAAATAAAATCTTTTGTACGGAGAAAAACCTAGAAAATAAAACCTGGCAGCATGGAAACGCCTGAAGTCTCCAGGATGTTTAATAATAATAACCAAGACAGAAAGTGTAAGACAATACCTGAGATGTATGAGGTAACGGAGCCACTGATGAGCATTAGGATCGGAATCACTGGCCCCTACAGGCATGTTGAGTGTACGCTGACGGACGAACGTGCGTGAATTGGGCGGCATATCAGACAGGTCATACATGACCACAAACATCTTCACAACTGTCCCGTGCGGGTTGAAAAGTGTCACCTGAACGGTTCCTTTGTTTGGCACATGGTAACCTTTTTTGCCCAAGTTAATGTGACCCTAAAAAATAATTCCATACAAGTAAAAATACATAAAGTGACCAATATAGGCCTAATTGTCAAAATGGTTCAACAGCATATGCATTAAATTTAAATAAAACAAGGTACCATAATACACTGTATAAAGACATTTGCAAGCAACTGTAGGAGAGTGTCGTTTCGTAACTATGTGTATGCTCTACATATCTGTGAATTACCCAGTAAACAGTATAACAAATTAATGTTACATATATTATTAATGTTTTATTATTAAAAATGTATAACTTTAATCTCTCGGCTGCACACCTGTTAATAGTAATGAAATTCAAAGAGCATTGTTGTTACGAAGGGGACACACATACTACCAGCAAACTATGCAAAACTGCCACGATATACTAATATGTCTATAATTCTAGGCATAATGTTGCTATTATTATCAGCTATCTGATAACAATAGTGTATAATTTGAGATTGATTATATATATATATACACAAGTATGCACAGTGGAAGAGTTAAATTAACGTTAGTCAACTTTTTTATTACTGTATAGCTGATGTATCACTCCTACCCCATGAAAAGTGGGAAATGAGAATATACAAAATATAGTTTCCTTACCATATACGGAGATGAGATCTGGTCATTATCACATAAGGTATAGAAGAAGACAGTAACAGGCTTGGTAGTGCGCTTAGGACAGAAGGCTCCCGAGGCTGCTATCTCCGCAGTGAAGCCCTGTACTGTGGATACAGGTTCAAGACGCCCATTTAACACACACTCCTCAAAGCTGCCTAGGAGGTTGGAACACGTAACAGTGGCTGGAGCCGATATCGATAGCTGTGTCGATTTGCTGGTGTCGATGCAAGCTGAGTGTGTCTCAACAGTGTAGACTTCTTCCTCCTCGTTATCACAGGTATACAACGCGCTGCAGTGGAACGATGTCGATCTACAATTGTTTTTTTAAAGGATCAGTCAAGTAAAGGAGAGTTGCATTTCTCCAAAGACTAGATGAAGTGGGATAATACATGCAAAGCTAATATGATGGTACATCAAAGTCATGAAGTTCGTGCCAAACTGACTGAAATCATTTGAGGTAAGCTAATGACAATTCTTTCCTCCCCCACCATTAAACAAAACTATAAGAATGAAACTATACTAAACTATGTCAAAACAAATAAATGGCAAACTAAAGCACAAGCCATAGGCTGCTATTACTATAGCAAACATTAATCAACCGTGTGCAATAGGTATTACTAATCTTAAGTCAATTTGGCACATACAAATATAAAGCCGTAAAATACTATTTCTCGGTAAAAATCTTGAAAATAGCTAAAAAACCGATACTGTATGAATGCAAGCACATATTCATGTAGATGTTTGTGAACATGTGTTGATGTGAGATTGTGTGTGCATGTACATTTCTGTTCGGTAAACAAATACGCACACGTGTCTGATTACATGTGTGCGCACCTCGTGTGTCAATTGCGTGCACATATTTAACACCGTGGTCTGACCCAAGTATCCGAGGCTCTCATTCAAATACCCGCAGGCTGCAACATTCATTGAAGCTCATTCAGTAGGCTGCACATAAAATTATTACAAACATTTGCAGCAACACTGCAACAATTTACACATGCCTGGTTCACAATATATAAAAATAAGATTTCAAAATTTTTTTGAATAACATTATGAAATTAAATTGTGAAATATACCAAAAGTTATTTTCTTTGAACTGTACATTAGGCCAATTCTTTGTGAACATTTCAGTGCCATAAATATAATCACAGTCTACAATAAAAAAAAACATGAACATATGTCAACATTGACATTATCTGCCCACAGTACCAGGTAGCATTGTAACGCATAATTAACCCTCAAACCGCGCATATCATATATAAATGATATCAGTGACAAAACCGAAACCGCGCACATCATTTATATATGATTTCGTGTCTAGCGCTATAATTTAAACGCCCCGCCTGGGATAGGGGCAGCTATAGTACAGCCACGACCAATAGTTGCCAGATGCCACCTAGAAAAAAAATCCAGGCCAACATTCTTGGGTGTTACAGCGTCAGTATTGAGCAAGCCACCAAGGCTGGCGCACGCAGCACGAGCTCACAGCACCGCTGTTCAGCTTGTGACCACAGCATCGCCTACAAATACCATAATATAAATGATACTGCTATTATTTAGCAGTGATAGTATTACTGAAGCCCTCTGACTGTGATAAAACTGACCAGGATACTGATAATAGCAGGATTGTGGTGATATTTAGCGCTGTGCTCCATGGAGGGAGGAGTAAGGCAGTGGAGGGAGGGTTGTGGCGTCATCTTTTGACTGTGTGTGGCCATCATTTATTGACTGCACTCAGCATACCAGCTTAGTGGTTCGATATGGTGAACACAAATGTAGATACTTATATATAACGTGTGTATAGAGTGTGATAACAGCGAGAGGAGTAGGTTGGGAGCTGCCATTTTGGCGAGGGAGGAGCATCGTCTGCACGACTTGGCATGGTGTTTATTGATGGCCACTATGGTCTTTGGGCACCATACCAGCTTATTTGTTCAGGTATGGTGAATAAAACAGGTAGATACTTATATATAATGTGTGTATATAGCATAATAACACCACAAACAATATTGTTGGAGGACAATTAGTGCGTCTGGCCTTGAGGGCGGCCGCCAATCAGCTGACTGTGTGAGTAGCTACGTCTTATGGCATTTACTCACCATACAAGCTTAGATGTACAGTTATGGTGAACAAAACATGTAAATACGTATATATAACGTCTGTGTATAGTGAATAAATACAGAAAGAGTATTGTGGGAGGTGAATGAGGGTGAGTGAGGTGGTGTTGAGGGAGGGAGTGGCAGTGAGTGGCTCGCTGGCGTTTGGTTTTTCACTCCTCGTTGCTTTTTGACTCACAAGACCAACTTAGTAGTTCGTTATGGTGTACAAAACATGCAAATACTTATATATAACCTGTGTATATAGTGTAACAACAGCAAAACTATTTGTTTATTGTTTTATGAACATAATAATTGAATCACTAATATGCACACCATAATTTTGAGTACAGCGATGGTTCACACATTTTATAATATAAATATACCACAATTCACTGTATGGAATAATATTACTGCAAAAAAATTAAGAAAAAATCAATCAGAGACATTGAAATAATTAGGTAATAATATATTTGTGGCAACTGCCGTCTGACAGCTCGGGCGGAGCAGACCTCGTCTGGCGAAGGCTCTGCCAACCTTTTAGCCACACTTCCCTACCCTATTTCGGCTAAAATATGCCACCTACGATTTTTTTGTTATTTTTTCCGTGATCAGGAAACAAATATGAACACTTCTATAAGACGAAAGAATTTTTTTTTTTTTTTTTTTTTTTGCGCCTGTGGGTGTGAATTCCATTTGGGACCCTAGCGGTTTGAGGGTTAAAGAACATTTTATATGGTGTATGATTGGGATCCACTGGGAATCTGACAAAAATATAAATTTTCAATTTTCCAGAGAATACTAGTGTTAAAGAGCAAAATTCAGTCTGCAAAACCATCTGGCACAGATGTCGGTGGGCTGTAGTGTGACAAGGGTCAAGGTCTGTGTCATGCGCACCAAGATCTCTTCAAAGTCGCCAAAATCTCTGTGCTGTGCAATCTCTTAAATATTTGGTAGATATTTGGTTCAGCAATATTCTAAGCAAAATAATTTGTGATAAACCATGCATTAATTTATGCTATATAAACAAAAAGTACCGCACTGGATGAAGCGGGATAGGAATACGTGTGTCATTAGAAGTTCAAATATTTGAAGAGAAGCGAAGATGTAACAGCATACATGAAATCATTATGGGGCATGCAAGTCATGTGAAGCACAAGTCTGCCAACTTCAAAAAAATACTCTCCAAAACTACTCCCTGGAACAGTATAACAAGTTATCTTGGGTCAAAGGGAGCAAGGGAGGGGACTATCGGGAAAGCGCCAAGCCATTACAAGGCGAGGGAGGTAAACAAAGGAACGAACGAGACAGGCACAGTGTTACTTATACCGACAATAAATTCTTGGTCAAATATTTCAAAGTTCCTGGAAATATCTAAATTTTAAAGATAGTCAAAAAAATATTATATATATACATATATATACAGTATACATATACATATACACATACTGTATATATATATACATAATATATATATATATACATATATATTATATACTGTATATATATATATACGTATATATATATATATACACATATATTATTTTTAGATTCTACAAGGTTGTTCACTCAATAACAAGTTTTCTTTCTAAAGAAGAGAGAGATCAGGTGCCAATTATCAGTTAAAGACGACTCAAACTCACCTTTTAATAGCAGCAACACTATTCAGACTCGAATCGTAGTCAAAACGTTTTCCTTTCCGGAGAGGTGCTGGGGAAGACGTCAGAGGCAGTCCCGTCTTGCTGTGAAACACCATATTAGTTGCAGAATCCAAAGATCGTCTGAACTGAGCTTTTTCACTGGCTGATGGGATAGGAACTCCCTTTCCATTACATATTTTTTCCACTTCATCATCATCATGATTCAGGTCTCGAAGTTGAATAATATGTGCACTCTCCTCCTGGACATCCATTTCGCATATGTCACGCTTTTCATGTCTTCCTTGTTCTGACCCTTCACTCCATTCCATATCATCCCCATAGTTTTGTGGTTTATTATCCTGAGTGTTATCCTGAGCTGGATGATGAATTTTAGTCATAAGGTGTTTGAGCAAACTTGTACTCTTTAAAAATCCTTCGCGGTTATCCCGAACACTTCTACTAGCATCGTTATTTTTATCTTTTAGAACCGTTTGCCTAGCTATTTCCGAAGGTAAATTTTCATCGAAATGACTGCCATTTGATAATTTGTTCTCCAGATTTTTAACTTCAACTGAATCAACAGATCTTCCCTCTTCAAACTGTAATGCCCTTTTTACCGTTTCTTTTTCTTTTAAACATTTTAACTTTACCGAATCCTGACCATGACTTTCTTCTTCCAAAACCTGACTGTACTCTTTTTGGATGCTTGATAAAACTGCACTAAATGGGCTCTTAACCAAAGTTTGTGAAGTTTGCTTCTGGGGCTGGGAGGTAACAGGCTGGGTGGGTTCACTATTGGCAGTAAAGAAACTTGTCTTAAGCGTGATTTTCTTTGCTTCAATGCATCTAGATTGACTTGAAGTTAAAAATGATTGCACACTTTGCCCACAAACATTTTTTGAATCTGTAACCTGTTCACTGTATACATCCGCACTACTATTATCACAAGATTCCTTACTTACATCACTACAAACTCTGGTCCGATATAATTCACTTCTATCAACTAATGTCTTACAACTAGAAATATCACAATGTTTCTCACCACTACGAGTTATAGCTTCAAGAAACAAGTTTTCAGGACTAGAGGTTAACTCCTGGACATCTTTGTCCCAATTTTCTTTATGGCACCTTACATTGCCATGAAAGTCAGAAGATGGGGTTTTTGGTCCCACATTATCTTTACATTTGCTCCAAGATGTGTCGACTGTCTTCTGTGCATTTTCCTCAAGCTTATAATTACTTTTACCTTGTTCCTTCGTATGAAAGGGTGAGAATTTGCCCTCTTTCCAATATCTCCCTTCCAATTTCTTTTCTCTATCAGTTAAATATTTTACATCAATTTCTTTTTCTTCCCAGGATTTATTGCTAATGTGACCACCTTCCTGATAATGTGACAATTTTTTGGTTTCACAAGAACTTCTTGGAGATTCGGCGTTAGATTTATTCCTATGACAGTCTATCCGTAGAGGTGGTACAGGAGCTGGTTGCCTGAGAACACTAAGAATTTCCATAGTTTCTTTAGGAGTTAACTCAAAATTAAACTTGCTGCGAAGCAAGTGGCTTGGGCCAACATCACCTCTTTTCTTCAGTTCTTGATTTAAATCCTTAAAAACATTTACACAGATTACTATACTGAATTATTTACACAGTATTTAAATACATACAAATACAAATCAAAATATTTGAGACATTACAATTACAGAGAAATGTTTAAGAAAAACTAAAAATAAAATTATGTATTTTAAACAATAAGGAATAATATGTGAATATGTAAAACAAATACACAACTGAACACTGATCAATCTAGATGGAATCATTGCATATTTATATATGTAAAATCTAAACAGTACAACCTTACCTTTGACCGACATTGTGTAGATTTAGACTCCTCTCTTCTGCCTACTTCAGACAAGTCCTCAAGACTGGAGCACAAGTGTTTTCCAGTATATGAGCAACACGGTCTAAGCTGGTCATCCATCACCCTCGGAAAGTCTGTACCTTCCTGTGTCTGTTTCCCTACAGGTGGCATCACATTGCTCTGCTTCACTCGTGTGCTACACATTTCACTTCCCATTTTGTTGCCGCTTGTACAAGGGTCATTTTCGGATTGAAACTGTTTAAAATATTCTCTCTTGCTGTGCTGATGATCCGTTTGACATTCCCACTCGCTAGGATGTTCTCCTCGTCGTTTCAAGCCTTGATCACGGCCTCCATTAAAATCTTGACAACCAGCGCCAATTTCAAGATATTTGCCCCTACTTCTTAGCCTTACATATGGATCACACTCCTGGTATTCTCCAACAGGTCTTCCATCTTTATAAATGGTTGAAAGCTCTGGGTATTCTCCAGCAGGATTATGATATTCATGCTGCTCTTGCACTTGGTATTCAGGATAATGTTGGTATTTCCCACCTCGTGGAGAAATCTGACTTGGTGGCTTTTGATGCTGGTCATAGCTGCAAGGATTTACAGAAAGATGAGTTCGTTGTGGATGGGGTGTAACATGCCGAGGTTTCTGTGGCATTACTTGCTGAACATGTGACCAGCACATTTGTGGACGATTGTAAATAAACTGTGGTCTTCGATATTGTTGGTATGGCCCTGAGAAGTCAAATCTGTACGGGTTGTGCTGTAATTGATGAGGATGTTGTTGAAGATGTATTGCTTCTGCATTCGGTGAACACAGTGAATCCACCGGTGCTTGGTGAACAACTGGTGTTATTGGGTACCGTGCCTGGGTCCAAGAAAATGGGTGAGAAGGTGCAGCTGGTCCTAGCATCATGCCGATATCTGGAGGTTTGTTAATCTGGGGAGCTGGTGGTCTATGACGACAAATGAGATGTTCAGGAGTTTCCAAAGACGGTGAGCCTGATCGTGAAGGTGACTGATAACGACGAGGGAAGCGAGTAAGGGAATTTGGGGGATCCAAGAGAGATTCACCAAGCTGTGTATCTGGGGACTCGCTGCGACTAATACGCGTGTTCTCTGCTAATCTTGCCTTCATAATGCTTCTCCTTAAGTCGTCTTCACACCTAAAAAATGCACAGGTAGTTAACCAAATTTCACAAATCCAAAAGATGTTTGAAAATACTGTACATTAACCCAGCAGTTGAACCTCAAATTCCCGAAATCCCTTGCAATAGTAACCCCTCCCCAAACCGTTCCTCCTAAAGTCTTCACCAGTAGCCTATTGCATTGCCACAGTCAGGCCTGGTCCTCTGAAATTCACGAAATCAAGGTAACATTTCTTAAACTTGTTATAAGCTACAGTATGTAGATCAGAACCAATTGTTGCAGATATATATATTGAGCAGTACAAAACTACTATGCATCTAAATAGGAGCTCCTAGAATAAACTGATTTTCTGTTATATCTACAGTAAAAATCCAAGCGGTGTCATGAAAAGGTCCAAAGGTTTGCCACAACATTAACTCTGTAAACAAATCTGCTAACAGAGCCAAGCTAAACAAAAAAATTTGCCATGATATTTCTGGCATCCCCCCACCCTCTAGCTAATGTGCTTAACCCTTTAACAGCGCAAGTTGTATATATACAATTTTGGTCTAATTGCCTGATCGGTGCACATCGTATATACACACTTTAAAGTACAGTACCGCGTAATATTTAAATGTACCGCAGCTACACGGGGTTCACATCAGCTTCCTCAGGGCTCTAGTAAACAGACACCATTTAAAAAAAAAATCATGGCCAACATTCCTGGGTGTGAGAGCATCAGTACTGAGTGAGCAATCAAGGCTGGTGCATGCAGGATGAGCTAACAGCACTGCTGTTTAGCTTGTGACCACAGCATCACCTTTAAGTGTTAAAATATCTATGTGACTGCTATTATTTAGCGAAGATAGTATTACAGAAGAGCTTGACTGTGATGAAGAGTGTACAATGTTCAGATATTGAACATAATGCTGTTCAAGATATTCACAGCACTAGCCACAACACACTACCATTGTTTGGTCCATCTAAGAATCTTGAAACGACTTATGTTCCTTTATATGACAAGTCATTATGGTGAACACAAATGTAGATACTTTTATACGTGTGAATGTAGTGTAATAACAGCACAAACAGTATGCTAGGCAGAGCCATTTTGGCAAGTGAGGTGCCGTCGTCTGCTGGCTACTGTGTGACCCGTCATGCAATGTATAGTGGCCACTATGCTGGACACCATACCAGCTTAGTTGTACAATTATGGTGAACAAAACATGTAGATACAGTACTTGTGTATAATAAATGTGCTTTATTCTTTCACTTCATTTGCTTGTTATCTTTAACCTTTTTCCCATACATAGCTATCCTCACATTTTTCAAAGAGATTAAATGCTATAGATATCCATATGACCCTTGATTGTTGCCGCCGGAGGCGGCTAGTTTATTGTGCACCCCATACTCATACTGTGAGCGGTAGCACAAAAAGCATTATAGAGGACACAAAAGATCCTTATCAGACCTCATCTTAGATTATTACAAAAACAATTTCATCTATCCTTCACACCTTATAGTTACAATGTCAGCTAGTTACAGAGAGTGCTATTTCAAGAGCTATATATTTACAGCAAGTCATACATTAATGGTAGGTTTTATCGCTAATACATAATAGTTTGATCCTCTTCAGTCAAATCCTATTAGTTTCATCTATTCAAATTATTATACAATCTAATTGCTATTAATTTTAGTGTTAGTTGCCACTTGGTTTTCCTAGTAGGCTGCATCACTACAGCTACCTTTCCTACCATATTTAATCTACTGGGTATTTTCTACCTTTTATGTGCCTTCTGGAAAAATAACTACATGCCTTCACTCTCAAACTTTTTTCTCATCTTTTCCGTGCCAACAACTTCTGTCTGCTACAGACATGCTTTGTCAAATCCGTACAAATATTTTTTACCAAATCCCTTTAAATCCCTTTGTCAAATGTCTTTAAAACATTACTATTATTGTTTAACAATACCAACCATTGCCTTGAATCCTACTACTAAATGGCTAATTACCTACAACAATGCACACCGGTAATTTTATTTTACCTCCACGGTACAGTACTTTGAAAAGGTAAAAATTTGCATTTCCACTTACTTGCCCAACTCTGTTTTATTTTGAGAATTTCCAGAAGAGCCTTCCAACAGCAAGGCATCAACCTCGTCCTCCTCTTCATGCGGTTCATTACACACAACTACTGGAACCTTGTCGCTGCGGGGAAGGGATCGTACTGCCACCTACAATTTAATGCAATTGTATTCAAGTAGGCACAATAACAGGTTTTAAATACAGTTCTTTTAAATGAACAAATGACACGCAGAAATCACAATAGTGCGATGCATCAAATGAACAAATCCACAAGGGCCATGACGAGGGTTCGAGCCTACATCAGAGAGGATCTCTTGACGTGCCTTGTTCTACAGTACTTTTAATATTAAATCTAAACCAATTCATTATTATTAAATTACAAACTCAAACTAAGAAGAAGGATTATGTTCCCCAATTGTTTCCATTTTTGGGTCTGGGGAAAATATTAACATGAAGGAATTGTTAGCAGCTGAATGACAGGTATATGGTCAGATCTAACACTTGCCCAGTCAATCCAGTGGTGCAAGCCAGTGGCATCCTTCCGCTTCTATGGAAGCAGTAGAATGGCGGAAAATCAAATGCAGTATTTGGTACTGGGTACTGAAGTAGGCTCTGTGAAATGCTTTATGATAGAGGGGGTGACAATAGGGCTACATGAGAAATTTTAGAAATTAAACAAAGATCACATGAAAAGGATCAGAGAGATGGTTAGCAAACCAACACATTGCATAAAGTCTAGAAGCACATTTGGGAAATGTCAATGACATTTATTGAAATATGTGGAAGGAGAGTACAAATGACATGCACGAGATCCTTACTTTAATAGAAGTGTCCTGGCCCATGTATGCAAGTGGAAATACATGCTCTTCTGCCTCTTCTGTAAATTTGGAACAAAAAACTGGTGATGTTACTGTGAGACGGTACAACACGTTGGGAGGGCGGCAGCCCCTAGAAACACTCAGCCAAGCCGACAGTTGTGAGAAGTGCAAGAAGGAGCGGACAGCTGCCATCAGCGACCAACCAGTTGCTGTTGCTTCTACAAGCCTGAAAGGAAAAAGTTTACAGCTCTTTGAAAAGCTTGCCACCACCATTTGGTTGACTATATATACACCTGCAGACTTGTAAATACAGTAACATTAAAGAATAAAATATATAAACAATAATAATGTTCTACTGTATTAAATACAGATTTTTTATTATAGCAGCAGCATTTTACTGGTCTTTTTTTATATTGTTGCACACAAATCTAGAGCCAATATGTACAAAACACAGTTAACAACTATGAGATATAACGAGAGAATAATTCAATTGGTAACTAACAAAAATTACCAGTAATACAAATAAAAAAAATACTAGAGTGCACTGAACCAAAATGTTTTCATGCCTTTATCATCCCAAATACTGCATGCAAAATGGAAAATTCTTTGGCAACACTAGTAACCAAAACAACATATTTGCAAGTTTAAACACTAACAATTTTACCAATGCCAAAATAATACTAAAAACTCCTCTTCCTCAATATCTTTAAATATGCAGTGCTTGTTTGAGGTGGTAACCATCAAAGGCAAATTAACATAATCTAAATAAAGTACTGTACTGCATTGGGATCATTATTTAAAGATATTGTAGAATCTTAAATATATAGGTAAACAAATAATAAATGGTACTCATAATTATATATTATATTTACCACTATTTTGTAAACAAGTTTGTTAAAGACTCTGCAATTCCACTTTTTATATTTTTTAATTTGACAAAATTGTTAATTGTTATGGTAACTCTTACCAACATGTCTGATATAACTGTGCTGTATTGTTAGCAACTTTTTATATAATTTACAATCAGGGGGCCTAACAACTGAGTGGACAGCGCTTCAGATTCATAGTCCTGAGGTTCCGGGTTCAATCCCCAGTGGGCGGCGGAAACAAATGCGCAGAGTTTTTCACCCTGTTGCCCCTGTTCATCTAGCAGTAAACAGGTACCTGGGAGCTAGACAGCTGCTACGGGCTGCATCCTGGGGCTGTGTAACAAAAAGAAGGTCAGGTCGAGGACCGGGCCGCGGGGACGCTAAGCCCCGAAATCGTCAAGATAACCTCAAGGGGAAGTACGAACCATTAGATGGCTCTGGGTAGTGATTAAATGGTCCAGTCATTGCTATACTGTACAGTACATCAATTGCTTTGCCAAGAATGCCCACAGTGGTATTGGCCCTTGTCAATTACAGCACAGTAGTAGTTTTTTTTTTTAATTTGTTATTTGTATCCAATAGTGTATTGTACGAGCTTGGTAATTCAAAATTCTGGTAACATGCATCTCCAAGTAATCCATATAATTTTTTTTTTTTGTTTTTTCTCTCTATACCGAACAAATTAGATTGCACAGATTTCTGCCAAATGAAAATTCTAAATGTTTTAATTTGTTAACATTCCCAGTAAAGAAATTTGGCAAATTCAAATGTCCAACTAACATGAATTAGGGCAGGCCCATATAATTTTGATTATCAAGCATAGACAGTGCAGTACCTGATTTAAGGTTGCTCTAGCTTACCCAGCTACTTCATTGCCAAGGATCCATTTATGAGCTAGTATCAAACTTTGGCCGTCTTGAATTTTGAAGCCAATTAACACTAACTTTTTTTGCACTAAGATGAGGAAGCAAGTATTGCTAAATGTCTGCAATTACACAATCTAAGACAATATTAAAGATGGAATATAGAATTTAAAAAATTAATAAAGGCAAGTTATGACAAAATATATCGCCAAGAGGGTTATGTGTATTTACCCCACAGACAAAGGGTCAAGATAGTTTTATATTCAGATGACCATATTGAGGTTTACAAATTGTCAAATTTGTACACTCAAGTTACTTACTCTGCAAGCATTATTAATTAGGGTTTATATGCCAACTGCCTGCAATACCTGCGATCATAGATAGTGAAGTTCCACTGTTCAATCAACCGAAGGTTTTGAGAGGGAGCTGTTGTAGTGTCGAGAGTTGTGGCAAGAGCTGCTCCGTGCTCACACTCGGCAGCGACCAACACTTCTAGGCTCACTCCTACACCAACACCCCACATCACACGCAACTGACGCATCAATGCTCCAGCTTGCATACACTATAAGTAAAAAAAAATGTAAATATTAATAAATTAAATTCTTACACTATCAATTATCTTTATTACTACAGTATTAATAAATAGAATTAACGTAAGTGTTTGTACACAGTTATTTGTTTACGTCTCTTAAGTTTCTCTCTATTACAAACATCTGTACAGTATCTGGCATTTAAAATTAAGAAATTTGTTACTTTACATTTGCTCTAAGTCAACCTTAGTGATCCAATAATTCACTCATCATAATCAAGAAAAAGTTATGAATTTCAGTACAGTAAATTTACAGCAAGAACTGTTTGCTTATGTAATCAATGGTAGTACTGTTCAGCATTGCCATGGTGGTAGTAAAGGTGTTGCCCTAATTTGTACATCCTTGGGGGGGGGGGGGAGAGAGAGGGGAAATGCTTGCACAAATTTCATAATATGGTCAATGTCTGTTTTACTGCCTTGTTTCTTGCAGGTCTGCATTCAATCCCCAAATGTCCAAGTGGTTGGTATCATGCCTTCCCTTGCTCCTATCCCAAATCCTTATCCCCCTCCATATCCCTTCGAAGTGTTATATAGTTATAATGGTTTAGCACTACGCATAATTACCTTCCCTTACCTTGTACTTTTATATCTGCATCCTAATATCCATTTTTCTGCTCTTATGCTTTTTTAAAGTACAATAATCTTCCTCCTTTTTCATTAAATCTAAGTGCAAGACGTCCTGTTGCACAGTGATCACAGTAAATACTGTATTTATTTCAAATAAAAAATAGTGCTAAGCATTTTTATTATATACTGTACTATACATTATTTTGGAGAATACAGCACATTAATTACTATATTAGACAATACCAATATAGGGTACTATAGCAGCAGCCACATCAACAACAGCTGGCCAACAACATTTTTTACTGTTACAAATCAGTTAGAACTGACTAGTAACTTTTTATTAGAGGTAGATTAGAAATTAAGAAGAAATGAAGATGTTAAGCATTGCCTTATTATGTTAACTAGTATGATTATGTGTGTTTTTAGTAGTATGGGTGTGGTGTGGTTAGTGAATGGTATGGTTGTTAGTGTGTGGTATGGGTTTACTGGTGTAAAGACACGCTGAGCATAGCCAGTGGTGCGAGATGGTATTTTAAGCGGCTTAAGCGCCATGACCTGAGGTCGGGATGAGCGAGTATCGACCCAAGGAAAATGGGAAGTAATTAGTGGAAATGTACCAATAATATGTTTGAAATTGCTGGAACCAGAGAGATGTTAACAGAAATCTGGATTCATATAGTAATAGCTTATTGATAGCAGTTTTAGGCCAAATATGTTTCAACCTTCTAATGTAAGGTTGGCATAAGGGGATTATATTCACAAGTACAAGGAACACTGCCCTAATGGCGGCAGTGGCCATACTGTTTTACACCTCAGGTTAATTGTAAAGTAAATGATGTACCTATTAGTTTCAGTAAGGAAACTATTGCAAGTAATTATTCATTCATTTTGCCACCCATTGTAAGAGTATGGCTATTTAGTAATGTAAGGTAGAGAAATGACTAATGCCTTATCATACATTTGGCAGGGAACTAGTTTGCCAACAGGCCTACCACTCAGCTCTGTAAGAAAGCATTTTGGTGTTCAATGTTAATTATAAATGTAATGAGTATGACTTATTCCTTTGCTGTTATTATTGTACCATTAATTACCAGCTTAGAGCTGCTTAACAGTTCTAAGCCAATGACTAAGATGGCCAAGTAGTTAATAAATAGACCGGTGTCCAAACGCATTTTCATGTTCGAACACAGTACCTGTCTCCATATAAGGAGGGAGCACCTCTCCCGTAGCCTCAGCTGTTCCAGGCACAAGGTGGAGGATGGTAGAAAGATCTCATCTAGCCGGTGTGGCTATTAGGTTAAGTGGTTACTGTTAAGTAGGACACAGGCTTTTTAATTGTGTTGTATATTAAGTGAAAAGTGAATAGTCTTTTATTGTTAGTTGTCCCAGTGCATGAGACTTAATATTGCAGTTCATAGATAATTCTTGACCCGTGTCTGTGTCCTTCAGAGCGAGACACGTGGTGTACTTGTATCTGTGTGATTACCTTTGTTTACGTGTATGTGCAGGCTTGTAAATAGACTGGAGATTAGGCAGTCCCCATTATCATTATCCTCACTTTCTGTGCCAATGTATGGAGTGGGGAATTTAGTGGGATATTGTGCTATTCTCAAGCATTATTAGACGGGCCTGTAACAGTTACCAGTGACATAACTGGATTAATTGCAGTTCATCCGATCCTAGAAGTGTCATCACCTCTAAATCATTAATAACATTGTGGCAGTTATTTTTCTGAACACAGTATGTGCTACCCATGCACACTTTTTATCTGGTCAGACAAAATAATACTGCTGTATAACATTTGCTATCATAACTGAAAACACTATGCTTAATAATGCCCAACTGTAAATGTACGATTGAAAAAATTTGCACTTTTGCATGAAAATAGTTTCCCCTCAGTTAAATTCTAGTCTAATCTTGAGGTAGTTCGCTTGGTGGCGATTTCAAGGATCAACGTTGTCCCATGCCTCCTAGTCACTAACATTTGGTACATGAATGTTAGTGCCATATTACAGAAAAAAATTATTATATAGGTACAGTATCTGCATGGATTTAGCTTTATGCTCGAGTTTGAAGATCCCTGCATTAAGTTGTTAGTTACTTTTAAATGTCTTAATAATGTAAGGAAACACTGTACTGATTTTAGTTACACGTGAGCTGCACTAAAGTTCATCAATTGCAGCTAACCACATTGACAACTTGCGTTAAATAGTGATTTGAATACAATACGGATACTATACTTTAAAACCTTCAACATATTTTTAATTGCTGTATTTTTATTTGGTATACACCAATGTATGTATGTATGCCCATTTGATTTTTATAGATTTAAATGGTTGTCATCATTGCCATGATGAAAATAATTAGTAGGAATTAAACATTTTGTACACTGTATACAGTAATGACAACCAACTTAATGATGCATAGTCATAGATGCTTAAAATTACTATCATTGTAATTACGAGTGCCAGCATCAGCACTAGTATGCAGTCAATTTATTATTGTTTGTGAATACAATTCTGCAAACAATTTTGATACTGTGCTTCATAAAACAAACATTTTAAAACTTTTACAGTTAAAAATTATGTTAAATCACCTTTAATGTCTAAATTGTACATAAATACTATTTAATAATCAACAGTTTTCCTCTCACTAAAAGTTGTTTTCTTCCATCCAGCCTGTGTCAAAGATGGGCTACTTTCATAAACAACAACTAAAAGGTACTTGCCATATGATCATTGGGTTGACACGAGTGCTTGTGCTGGAGCTGATGTGGAAGAGGGCAGTGGGGTCCTGCGTGATAACCCCTCTCCCCTCCCGGGGTCCGTCCCTCTACCACAAGGATGGCCAGGGCTGTGAAAACCTCCCAGGGGTCACCAGAACCATGACCCCCGGCTTCCTCCACACTACTCGACCTCATCTCCCTGCTGAAACACAATGAGCTTATTAGCTTATTTTACATATTTACCAGGTGAGTTGCATTATACAATTACAAAATTATAATAATGAAGTTCAGCCCTTTAGTAAAATACTCATTTCATCATTATAACAAAACATACCACTTAAGTAATAATTAAATTGAGTTGCTACATGGGCCATGTGCAACAGCCCCACCTCCCTCTCCATTTCCCTCAATGCAGCCAACAGCTTCATGAAATACCAACAATTAATAATTCATTGTACTAACAAAATTGTACACAATACAGGCCAATGACTTGTTAAAAATAAAGGCCAATGACAAGTATATTAAAGCAACCACAAAGCATGTAGCTACTTGACAAACATTTAATAAAATGTCATGTGGTTTATTTTCAAGATCACAGTATGGTATAATGTAAAATGTGGCAACTGATGACTACCAAGGTTTAGGTTTGATTCGTGAACTTGAATTGAGGGTTGCCCAGCAGCAAGCCAGCTATGACTCACTACTTCTTGTGGATCTCAAGTATGATTTTCTGGACAAAGGTAACATGTTTCATACATAATTATATAATGACTCAAAAGCCCCAGGTGTGGATGGAATCCAATCCAAAGTCTTAAAGGAACTGGCAGAATTGCCTACCACTGAAACTACTTTTCACAAAATCTCTGGACGAAGGGTTAGTCCCTATAGATTGGAAATGTGTAAATGTTACCCCCATTTTCAAAAAAGGCAGAGAGCTCAGCAGGAAACTACTGGCTGATCAGCTTGACATCACACATCTGCAAGCTCATGGAGAGAATCCTCAGGGAGGGACTCATTCGCCATCTTTCAGTGAACAACCTTATACAATCGACAATATGGGTCTGTCAAGTTAAAATTTCAGTTATTGCTTTATTATTGAGACTGGTTTTAAAATGCGCGCCTTTATATTGCGAACAATTTGAAAACAGATCCTGCCTTACGAACATGCTCACATTCTTGGAATCGGTAACCAGCTACTCAAAGGCCTTTTGGAGGATGTAGTATACAGTGGTACCTCCGTTTACGAACTTTTCGGGTTACGAGCTTGATTTGTTCGGAAAATTTGAACCAGGATATGAGTTTGTTGATGCTCATATGGCCGACCTAGCGCGTGGTGGCACGGCGATCGTGCCTCAGTTTGCCAGCACGTTTACCTCGCACCCAGTGACTATCCCACCTGAATTCTTCACAAGGATTTACAGTTTCTTTTCGGATTTTTGGCTATTTGACCATAAAAGCTGTTATTATATATCTTGTCCCAAGAAAGCCAGTGGTAAGGTTCAAGGCAAGAAATCACATGTGAGAATGACCATAGAGGAAAAACAAGAGACCATTCGTAAGCATGAAAATGGAATGGTAAGCATGAAACGACTCGCCCAGAGAAAGCTGAAGTAGGCCATTGCATTAATCTTTTCAATGACAATGTGATGCCTCACTACAGACAAGTGTTGCAAAGAAGGGAAAAACAGTCTTCAATGGAACATTTCCTTGTTACGGACCAGAGTCCAGCGTCCGAGCACGGAGCAGTGACGACCGCGCCATCTGTGGGTCAGCTCCCGAAACCCCCTCCAAATGGACGACGCTATCTAGTGAGGACGAAATATACCGGCCACAAGGGCTAGTTTCCCGTCCTAATCAGCTCATAACACAGCCGCTGCTGACCTCTGGTGAGGTGACGCTTAGACAGCAACGCCATCTATGGAGTGGATAGGTGGGCGTTTGTGTCTAAGCCTGTAAGTGAGGTGCCCTAGAGTATAACTAGTACTGATGACGTGTCTGATTACAGAGTCGACCTGGGACTGCTGCAATGAAAGTTGGATCAGTCTACCCAAGGCAGCCGTAGAATCTCCAAGTGTTAGCTGTAGAAGTTGTGAGTCACCCCCCGGATAAACACTGTTGTGTTAGCCGGCCTGTGACGTGGCAGTTGAGGATTTGTCGTACCCGGGACTGACTGGTGGAGAAGACTAACCACTGGGGTGTTGTGGTGAAGAGTGATCTGTGAAATCACACGAGGCTCCTGCCTAGGGCTCGCAACCCTAGTATCGGTCGTGGAGTGGCCTACGCAGCGTTGCTGATTGGAACCTGCCAGCTACAGGCTGGATTTGTGGTTGAAGGCCTCCACGACGGTGCACCCAGTGGGACTGTGATTTGGCTGGCCTGTGGCCAGGGTAGACTCGCCGAGGGAATCAAAGGATTCATCGTGAGGCCACAATAGAACCAGGACCACTCGTCTTGAGCACCGTGAACGTCTTGAGTCTTCGGAGGAAGACAAGTGATTGTAAATAAGTGTAGTAATAATAAGTGTGAGACTGTTTATATATTTATTTATGGTGGTGGTGGTGCTAATATATAATTAATAGAGAGCAGTTTTATCCCTTCCCCTTTAATTTACTTGCGTTATGGAACACACCCATTGAAAGCCACTACTAGCTTGGGGCCGGAACCCTAACAACATCAGAGAAAGAACCCAGTTGCAACCCAAGAGGGCCGTAACATTCCTTGTGAGAAATTCAAGCAGTGAGCCACAACCAGGACCTAGTGGTATGCAGGCAAAACATACCAGAGAGTGCACTCCAGAGAAATCTTCACTGCCAGATGTTATAATGGAAGGGGGACTCCCCTTCCAAGTAATAATTTGAACATACTTTTGTAGTGAAGATTTGGGTGAATTGGGTATACAATTTACATTGAAGTGAAGATTTTGGGGAGGCAGGAATGGATTAATTCATTTCCCATTATTTCTTATGGTGAAATTCGCTTCGGTTTATGAACTGTCTCCAGGAACGGATTAAATTCTTAAACCGAGGTACCCCTGTACATGGATTTTGCTAAAACTTATGATAAGGTACCACATGAAAGACTGGCAAGGAAATTACAGGCCCATGGAATAAATGTTAACAGATTAGAATGGATAAAACAATGGTTGGAGGAATGAAGAAGGGTTGTGCTAAATGGAAGCGAATCTGAATGGACAAATGCGATAAGTGGGTGTCACACGGGTCCCTTTTGGGACCTACCCTTTTTGTCATACATCAGTGACATGAGAATATTACAAACCACATCATCAAATTTGCAAAGATTTATGATAAAAAGGGAAATTATGATAATATTGAAGCCTTACAAAGAGACATACATGAACTCCACAAATGGCTAGAAGACTAGCAAATGCTTTTTAATGTCGACAAATGCAAGGCCATGCATGTGGAGCATAACCCACTCTACTACCAAATTAATAGATTACATTAAATCAGATTGATGAAGAAAAGTCCACCACTCATTAAAAGTTGCACAACAGGTGGGTGCAGCAGTCTTGGGATAAGAAACTCTTGGGATAATCAAGCACAAATTTGACTACAAGGAAAAGTAATAGTTTAACTGTATAAATCTTGGTGCACCCCCATTTGGATTACTGCATCCAAGCATGAAAACCTCATTTTCAAAAGGACATGGCTGCTCTGGAGAAGGTGCAACACCGGGCAACATAAGCAATTCCAGAGCCAAATCATCTCTCGTAACAGGAATGGTTGAGGGACCACTGGGCTAACAACATCTGCCCTGTCATGCCTGTACTGCAATATCATTTAATTTTTTTTTTTTTTTGTAATTTATATATATAAGAGTTCTTACACTCTTGTACACCCACTAGCACGCACAACGTTTCAGGCAAGTCCTTAATCCTAATTTTCCCCGGAATATGACCCACCAAATCTTTTAACAACCAGGTAACCATTTTACTGTTGGGTGAACAGAGGCTACAGTTAAGGATTAGCGCCCAGTAAATCATCCCCGGCCTGGATACGGACCCAAGCCAAAGCGCTCGCGAAACGCCAGGAGTGTGTGTTACTACTTCACCATGGGGACTGTTGTGTATAAATCTCGACATTGGAGATTTGCACAACCTACTTGTTATGCAACTTTTAAAATACTGAACAAGTTAGAGGAAGTTGATCCAAATATTTTCTGACAGTCAGATATAACACAAAAAAGGAGCAACGGTTTCAAGCTGAACAATCCACAATGTAGGACCTAGAATAGGAGATGCTTTTTCACCCACAAGGTTATGGAACCTACGGAACCGCCTACTCACCAAAGCAGTAACTGCCGAGTTTAAAAATATACCTGGAAAAGATCAAGGCAAATCTAACATCTTTGTCCTGGTGCAGTCATTGGGTTTTATACACCCTTCATGCAAACTGCATCTACTATCAAGAAGAAGAAAGAGTGTACTGTTCAATATGTCAGCACTTTTTACGAAGACAAAAATCGGCATATTAATGAAAAAAAGAACCTTGGAGTCAAAATGCACCACTCACTAGAAGTTGCACAACAAGTAAGAACAGCAGTCAGACAAGCTAACCAAACCCTTTGAATAATCAAGCGCACATTTGACTAAGAAAAAGAAGGTAATGATTCAACCGTATACAGTAAATCTCTAAGTGTAAATGTAAATAAAGTAAATGTGCTTGTGTAAATGTGAAATGGGGGCACATTAGTAAATATGAAATGGGGCACATTAGTAAATGTGCCCCCATTTGAATATCTGTATCCAAGCATGAAGACTTCACTTTCAGAAGGACATAGCTGCTCTGGAAACAGTATTATATAGGGTAACAAAAGTTATTCCAGAGCCAAGTCATCTCTAGTATCAGGAACGGTTGAAGGCCACTGGGCTAACAATACTGCAAACCAGGCACGACAAGGAGATCATTGAAACTTAAAATACTGAACAAGTTAAAGGATGTTTATCAAGACACATTTCTTCAAAAGGTCAGATGTACCAAAAGAGAAGCTATGGTGTCAAGCTCAACAAGCCATAATGTAGGACTGACAACAGGTGATGCTTTTTCACCCACAGGGTTATAAATCCATGGAACCGCCTACCCGTAAATCCCAAAACTGTGCATATTACCGACATAATATCCTTGCTACACAGCTAACTGGGTGCGTTGAGTTTTCAGCGATTTGCGTAGATTTATGACGCAC